AAAGAGAGCTCAGTACATTTAGTTTCTGTTATGCCTAACCTGATATGTTCTGTTTTTGCCTGCTGTGCTTTAATGAACATATTGCAGGCAACCTTAGCAAGAGAATTGTAGTGCCTCAGAGTGGCAACCCTTTACGGATCAGTCGTCTGTCTGACTATATATCAGTCGTGTCTTTCTGTCCACCTTGTGTGGCAGATATATTTATAAATCAAATATGTTTAAGAACAAGACACACCGTTTTGATAACTCAATACTGAGATATTCGGACAACATGACAGTAACTCGTGCGGTAATTCCTATGCGTCTAGAGAGCATTCACTACAATTCGGGCTAGTCATTTTGTAAACCATGATATTGTAAAGAAAACTCTATTTAAGTGATACATTATGTGTTGTGAAATTATACATTGGATGCTGTTACCATATATAGTGCTGTAAATTATGACCAAGATGATAGCAGTTCCAACGCGAATTCTCCTTAAGCTTTTCCAGATGTTATCAACATTTGATGCTGTTAAGTTTCCGTTCATAGTGACAGGCCAACCACATTTCATGGTAAAATAAAATGTTTATGATTATAACAACATTTTATTTTCAAGAGCCAGAGTTGCTAAAGGTTAAACCAAAGGTTGCAGTTGAACTTACGGGCTCCAGGTCTGGACTTAGCTCGTAGGCCAAGCTGACTTAAGCTGCATTCGGTATATTCGCTAACAGTGGTCGTTGTAAGTTATTTTCATGAAAATGTGTGCATGCGTGTGTGAAAATGTTGAATGTTTACCTTCAAAGGCTATAAACTATTATCTCTGCATCTAGACGACGTTAGGCGCAGTTGCACACTGTACCGTCAGCTTTTCCCATATCAGTGGAAGGTCAGGCGGAAGTGCAGTCCCGAAAGAAATATTGACAACAGGAGAGCACAAGATGGAGGTGGGGATGTAAGCACACGAGGAATAGGCTCATTCCATAAATCCTTCAAACATCAGCAAAAACAGGCAGCTTCCCCCGCCCCCAACCCCGGCAGCCAGCATCAGGCTCAGTCTCAGCAGGAGGGCAGGAGCAATTATCACGGAGGATAAAGCGGCTCCCTATTTTGTGATGAAAATGTTGCTATTTGAATTCACACTTTGTCCCAGAGTTGCTACTAACAATGGACACACCGATTCACAGCGCCTGTGTGTATTTATACTGTAACTTTCGTGGAGTAATTCTGCACTCTGAAACACGACAAGCACGAAATCTTCGTATTAGATATGCATTAGGAAGGAGAGGCCCCCCACATTGCACACTCAACACAAGATTAAGAATTTTTCTACCTGCCGTATTTTAATTGTGGCGCGAGTGCGTTCGCCATGGAAGTCACGAGCTGGAAAGGAATAGACAAAAGATGCATATTGTTTTCATCGTTGAGCTGGAGGAACTGAAACATCTGCCATGAACAGAAATATCCCACATGGTTTATCGCAAAACATACATATGCCACGCTGAAAGTGGCACATGCCGCCACACATGCCGCCAACATGGGTTTGAAAGGCAGGGACATGATCTTGCAACATGTTATATTAGCATGCAAATTCATGTTATGCTTAACATACGTCATTTAAAATCCCACTTCTCAATACAATACCGTTTGCTTTACCTACATGTTACTGCACATCTTACCAGCCACTTGAAAGCTGTTGTGATTTTATAAGGGGAAAAGACAAAGGCATTGTGATCTATTATTGTATTCACGAATAATGAATTTTATCGACTGTAGTGGAGAACACTGTAAACAGCAATTTTTCCGTTTTCACTACGTGCATTTGTTTTACCACCAGTTCGACGTGCTAACGGTCTTATTTTGCGACAACAGTTTCTACACTAACATTATAAGGAAGGATCTCCAAGCACACCAAGAGAATTTAGAAAAAATATGATCCACGCTGCATTTCTGCTCATAAAGTTAATGGGTTCATTGTCATACAGTCATATAGCACGGAAATAGACCTTTCGGTCCAACTCGTTCGCGCCAACCAGACATCCCAATCTGCATTAGTCCCGTTTGCTAATATTTGGCTCATATCCCTCTAAACCCTTTTTATTCATATACCCATTCAGATGCCTTTTAAATGTTGTAATTGTACCGCCTCCACCACTTCCTCTGGCAGTTCGTTCCATACACGTACCAACCTCTTTGCTTCCCACTTACTGTTGCCTCGCAGAATGACAGAAGTGTTACGGCGCAGAAGGCGGCCATTCAGCCTATCTTGCCAGCACTAGCTCTTCAAACAGGCAGCATTACCTAGTGACAACAAGGTGCAGGGCTGGATGAACACAGCAGGCCAAGCAGCCTCTGCTCCTATGATGCTGCTTGGCCTGCTGTGTTCATCCAGC